TGCTGGGTGTGTCGATCACCTCTCCTTTCCCTTCCCTTGCCCCTTACTGTCTGTCAGTCTTGAGTGATTGGCAGACTCAAAGGATGCCCTCTACCCCTGGAGGGCATTGTGCCATCCAGGTGTTCTTTGTCCCTCGAGACTTCCCCTCCTGTCCCTGCTTTGTCCCTCCTTCCCTCCCCATCTCTCCCGGGGTGTCGCACACATCTGTGATGGAAAAATCCTTTCCTTAGGATTTTTTCTCTTGAGAAGCTGAGAGGCCTCAAAAACAAAATGTAAACCATGATTATCTGCTGCTGTGGAATGCAACAGGTAAATCTGGGATTGGTCTCAGAGTTGTTTCTAATTAATGGCCAATCACAGCCAGCTAGCTCAGACTCTCTGAGGAAACAAAGGAAACAAGCCTTTGTTATCATTCCTTCTTTTTCTATTCTTAGCCAGCCTTCTGATGAAATCCTTTCTTCTATTCTTTTAGTATAGTTTTAATGTAATATAGATCATAAAATAATAAATCAGCCTTCTGAAACATGGAGTCAGATCCTCATCTCTTCCCTCACCCTCAGACCCCAGTGAACACGGTCACACCGGGGTTCAAAGGAACAGCAACCACACGGTTTGGGAAGTTCTGCTGGAGCTGTTGCTTTGTTCTGTGGGCCAGAATAAAGCTCTGCATCCAAACCCTCCATCAGAACCGACTCCTTTCCTTCCCCATCTCCTTAAAGCTTCTCCACAGAGGGACACCTGAGGAGCAGCCCCTGTTATGGGGGCAAAGCTCCATCTCGCAGGATGGAGTTGCTAAGCATCCACAAATGGGGTTTTTGGGAGATGACTGCTGCAGGAAAGGCATTTTGTGCTGTTTTTGTGAGCCAGCAAAGGCTTCCTGAAGATAAGGAAAGCCCCATATCTCTCTCAAAGAAGACACCAAAGCTATCCCCATGACAAGGTGATGGAAGAGAGAAAGTTAAAAGATATGACGGGGCTCCTTGTTCACCTATTGAGAATTTTGTTTCTCTCTTATGACCAATGGGCAGTGAATGTGTCTGCTAAATAAATGTAAATATCTTGAAAAACTATAAAGGCAACATGTTGGTATAATAAATCTCTGTTATGCACCTTTCTGATGGAGTCTTGGTGCTTTGCACCGTGTTGCACTCTATAGTGACAGACTGTCACTGTCACATTTCCTGAAAAATCCCTTCACCAGGATTTCTTCTCCTGGGAAGCTGAGAAGCCTCAGAGGAAAATGAAAACAATAATTATCTGATTGCTTCTCCTGTGTTTTGCTGCTTTGGAATGTGGTTTGGACAATGTTTGATTGGTTAAATGTGAATTGTTTTGACTTAATGACCAATCGCTGTCCAGCTGTGTCGAACTCTGAGGAGAGAGTAATGAGTTTTTCATTATTATCTTTTAGCCTTCTGTTTGTATCCTCTCTCTATTCTTTAGTATAGCATTCTTTAATATAATATAGTACCATAAAATAATAAATTAGCCTTCTAAGAACATGGAGTCAGATTCACCATTTCCTCCCCACAACGGGGGACTCAGAAAACACCACACACAGCATTGCCTCAATTTGAGAGACATCAAACACTGAACTGCACCAGCCCAGCACAGTAATTGCCCACTGGAGCTCTCACAGGCTGCAGAGAGCAGAACCTCTGCAAGCCATCAATTAGCCAACAAATTCCTCCCCTTTCCTGCAAATTACCCTTCAATTCCACCGCAACCAAACCAAATTAATTTTCTATTCCCCTCTTCTTCACGGGAGTCATTAGATCAACCAGATACACTCACAGTGTGTTTAATTAGCTGGATTTCCACGTTAAATAAATCATGCAGCTGCTAAAAATACTCACAGTTCGGAAATGGCTGCTGAGGTGATCCAGCCTGCTGAACCTCTTGCCACAGGCCTCGCAGGGGTACGGCCGCTCTCCCGTGTGGCAGCGGAGGTGACGCTTCAGGTCAGCTTTTCTCTTCACCACGTGGCTGCAGAATGGACACTTGAACCTCATCCTGGCCAGGTCATCTGTCAGAAAATCATGGGATTAAAAAAAAAATAAATAAAAAATCATCGTGTCGTTTTTATCAAAATCACATCACGTAATGCTGTAGGACAAAGTGTGTTATGAGAAGAATAGCACATTGCTTTTGTGAAAATAATATCCATGGGTTGTTTGGAGCACAAAGGTTTTGTGTTTGCCTGTGGATCACACAGGAGTGTAACAAAGGAGGAGAGGAGCATTGGCTGTATTAACACAGACCTGGACAGGGCTTGGAGCAACCTGGGACAGTGGGAGGTGTCCCTGCCCATGGCAGGGAGTGGAGCAAAATCAGCTTTAAGATCCTTTCCAACCAAAACCATTCTCTGATTTCATGAAAATGAGCTTAAGAATATCCCAACTTATATTTATTTTGAAATTTAACACCCCAGCTACTTCAAGAACTCAAAATTATTTCAAGATCACGAGTTCAACTTTCCAAAAATACATTTCTGGACAATACATCTGTTTTTTTTTTTGGCAGCTGTGCTTTCCTATTGAGCAAGACCTATTTCCTCAGAGCCAGCAGAGAGGATTCTCAGGTGTCTCAACCCCACTCACCTTCAGCCCAGTTGCCCATGACTCCCAGGATGGAGGGCATGCTCCCGTATTGCTCCTCAGCTTTGGAGGACTTGGATTTGCTGGAGGAGCGAGGCGATTCGTGCTCCTGCTGGGACACAGCCAAGCCCCTGGGCATCACCTCAGCCCCCTGGCTGAACTGGTAACCCACGTGAGGAGCTTCCACCTCGGCGTCCATGTGAACCTGCTCCTCGGGCGGCGCGGCGTGGCCGGCGGGCTCGGCAGCCCTGTCCTCCAGCTTGCTTGATTTATAGTGGGGGATGTCTGCGGGCTGCTGCAGCCCCAGGTGCCGCGATTTCTTGATGGAATCCTGCCGCTGCTCGTGTTTGGACAGCTGCTGCTGCTGCTGGGCATTTCTCTGAGAGCTGGGGTAATAGTTGAAATTGCTCCAAGCGTTGCCGCCCATCATGCAAGTCCCGGGGTCTGGGCTGGAGTGGGGGTGTGGGGGGCTGCTCTCGGCCCTCCAGCCTCCGCTGTACACACAGGATCTCTCCACGCCGTTGGAGCTCACGTCTTTGTCTGACAGGCTGAAGTAGCGATCCTTCTCCTTCTCACTGATGTCCAGCGAGGACTTGATGAAGGTTTTACACACGCTGATCACATCGGTCATCTGCAGATAGCTGGCGGCCGACATGACCTCGATCACATTCTGACCAGTGAGGGACAGTTTGCCTGAATACACAAAATCCAGGATAACTGTGAAGGTGTCAGGAGAAAAGGCCTGGAAAGTGGCTGTGGTGGACTGACTGGTCTCCTTGGAGCTCTGCGAAAGGAGCATTTTGAAGTAGCCGCTGCTGGCAAACAGCACATTGCGATGGGCTTTGAAGACCTTGCCCTCCACCAGGATGTTGCAGTCACAGAACAAGTCCTGC